CCAAAATCATTCATATTGGGTGACGACTGGGAAAAGATGTTATACTACTAAGCTATAAGGTTGATGAAGAAATTTTTAAAATATCTGTAACAACTTTGTTCACTTCATTGTTCTCCCTGGGGAATCAACAACAACAAAACTATTTTTTAAAAAAATTTTTAGCTGAGACAAGTATAGAAGTGAGCTCTTAATTTCCCCATTTCTGTTTGAAAATAGTATTTTTCATTCAAAATATTTGCAATATTTATAATAGGATAGAACACAGTGAAGCTTCTTAAAGTTATCTCCCAAATTCAAAATCACTTGAACATTATGTCTGGAAAAACATTCAGGTACAAAGCTGTTGATTTGATTAGATTAGACTTGATATGATATGACTTGATTTGATTTGATTTGATTTGATTTAGGAGCATAGTAGAAGAACTTTCAGGTTCACCAGAAATATGTAAACTCCATCAGGGCCAATAAATCCAGAGCTATACCTTTCTTTATGAAATAAAAATCTCAAGTGATGAAGCTTTTGATAATTTAGTTCTTACTAAATTAGTAATAAGTAATAGTAGGGAATTGACCCTACTATTCTCCCAAGATTAATCCAAGGGAGAAAAAACAACTTTATATGGTATATGATAACATTTCTGTTATATATGTATATAGTATGGTATATAATAAGCACTTTTCTTTCAGCATTTCATGGACTTCTAACAACTCAGCAAGCAAGGGTTTACTGCCATCACCACTGCACAGAGGATGAAATGGAGGCAATAAGTGAAAAAGCCAGACTGAGCTCCAAGTGCACTGGCTCCAGAGCTCATGTTCATCATGGTAAGTGGAATGGTGCCCACATGGGTAAAAACACTGACTCACACATGCCTATTAACAGACTTCAACTGTGATGTTTCTGCTGGCTCAAAAGGACCAGAGTCAATGCCAGGTTTGTTTGCATACTGTCATAATAATTGGTTGTCTCCATTGTTTTCTTTCTGAGACACTAGGAAAGTTCTGATTTACCCCTAAATATACTTCTGCTCTAGTGTGAATTTTCAGTAGGAAGATATAATGCACCATTACACAAATTTATGTGACCACAGATAGGACACCTTTATTCCTAAGCTTGCAAGATTGCTGGTCCATGGAACACATGTTGAGAAATATTGAAATAAGGGTCAAACCATGCCATATCCTATTTTGTAGTTTAAGGAGACAAAATGCTCAATAGGCAGAATTTGAATTTCTTGTGGGGAGCTGCAGTCCTTCTGATGGCCAGCTCCCAATCAATCCCATTGTGAATCTATCCATACAATATACAAAGTTTCAATGGAGTGCCAGAGAATGGTTAATTCATCCAATAGTTCTTAACACTTTTAGTGTAGAACCATTTAGAACAGAACTGTCCAATCAAGACATCACTTTGAACAATCTCAAACTAAGAAAACCTTCCAAAAAAGGGGGAAAGGGGCAGGGAAGGAGAAGGAAGCAAACCATAAGATACTCTTAATTATAGAGAAGAAAGTGAGGGTTGATGAAGAGGAGGTAGGCTGGGGATGGGTTAAGTGGGTGACGGGCATTAAGGAAGGCACTTGCTGTAATGAGAACTGGATGTTATATGTAAGTGATGAATCACTAAATTTTACTCTTGAAATCACTATTACACTATATGTTATTAACTAACTAGAATTTATTTTTTTTATTTATTTTTTTTTAAGATTTTATTTATTTATTTAATTGACACAGAGAGAGAGACAGCGAGAGAGGGAATACAAGCAGGGGGAGGGTCAGAGGGAGAAGCAGGCTTCCCGCGGAGCAGGGAGCCCGATGCGGGGCTCGATCCCAGGACCCTGAGATCATGACCTGAGCTGAAGGCAGTCGCTTAACCAACTGAGCCACCCAGGTGCCCCTTAACTAACTAGAATTTAAATAAAAACTTGAAACAAACAAAAAAGAAAACCTTCAAGGAAAAAAAAAATAGGCATGCATTCACCAACTAGCAAGCTTTTGTTGACCTGACACCAGACATAATCATTCCAATGTGGGTGAAGTAAGTCTTCATACACAACAAGGAGTTGCATGGTCTGAACAGTGTCCCTCTCAGCCTTCTTTTTTTTTCCCTTTTTTTCACTTCCTCTCATGCGCTCTACTTGTACGCAGGGAAAATAGTAAGTTTATGCTTCCTTTTTGTCTGTCCTCACCTAGGATTGTCATCCAGGAAGGGCTCCCCAAAACCCTAAAGTTAACTTTTCTTCATCCTCCACTATCAACATCTTTCTACTCTCCACTGTTACTAACCACACTTTACAAATATTCATTTGGACTGAATGAATTCATATAGATTCAACAAATCTATATAGGTCATATCTATATGATCATAGAACTCTTTGTACAATGCCTACTGATATTTCTCTAACTCATGTTCAGCAGATACATTATGGGAATAGTGACTTAAACCAAGGAATGAAATGAGAAATCCAGCCAGGGAAGGGAAGAGCTTTCCCAGAAACCAGGAAGGACTCATGGCTCATCTTTCCCACCCCAGATAAAGAATTATATGAACCCCAACTCTCATCCAGGTAACATGGTCAAGGAAAGGAAGATGTTTTGGGGATGGGAATGCAGTGGAGTTCCTCAACAGAATCATTACCACTCTTGGCAACTGCCTACCTACTGTAGCTCTACACACAGACCAACCTATGTTGAAAATCGTATTAAAAAAAAAAAAGTTGGAAAAAAGGAAGGAGAAAAAAGTTATCCAGAAGCATACCTACAAAGAAAAGGACTCATTTTCACTGTACTCTGAGGCAAGTTGATGTATTGAGGCATTTTCTATGTAGTCACCAGGCTAAAAATTAACATATTTTTTACCTCTTTCTGTAGTAACTAGTTCAACTCGGTTCACTTCCTGGAAGTATGTCTTATATTTCTGATTTTCTTATATCTCCAGATATTAGGACAACTCTAATACTCAGAAACTTTTCGAAAGACCCTCAGTCCTCAAGCGACTATGCCCTAGAAATAAGAAGCTATTTCCTTGCCTTACATCATAAGTGGGTAATGGAACTCTTACAGATCAGCCATATTTTCCTTATTGCTTTCCTGGAATAAGCTGGCCACTATATTACACTAATTCATAGCACTCGGCAATTTTAATTCTCCCAAAGTACCAATCATTAGGATTTTTCATTTAAATATCGCCACAAAGACTTCCATGCAAACAAATCTCTAGCAGCCAATAAATGATGAATTAGAATTTGACTTCCTTTTCTATACTGGGGTGAGTGACAACCTCATATTCTCTAGAATATAAAATATTCCAGGTTGCAAAAATTAAAGCCTAAAAAGGAAAGGTTAGAAATAATCCAGAGAAAATGTAGATAGACACCCAAATGGGTATTTGGCTGACTGGGCCCTTAATAAAAGGGAAAGAGCAATCCTTATAAAGGGAGTGAATTTATTTTCTTAAATAATTCTTCCTCCTTTTTTTCCCCAGTTGGGGATAAAGACGAAAAAGAAAGCATCCAAAAAAAATAATAATTCTTCCAATTGATCCTATAATTAGGTCACTAAAAACCATGAATCCAAGCCACATCTCTAAAGATTTTTATATCTTACTGGTTCTAGGAAAGATCCAAAAGTACATCCAAGCTGATTATTTCATAAAATTAGCTCTGCTTTTTGCTATTTTGAACATGCATTGACCAAAGCTAACTGATTCTACTGGAACTCTAGGGACTCTTTTTGGGAGATGTTCTAAGATGTCCTGGCTCTGCACTTTAAGTAATTCTGTGGTGGCTTTTCCCAATCTCAGTGTGACTTAACCTCTCTCAATCTCAATTTTCTTGTCTTTAAAATGTGGATAATTATAGTACCCACTACATCAAGCTGCTGTGGGAATTAGATGAGATAAGGTATAAAAGTGCTTATAAGAGCGCTTAACCACACATCTCCTCAATACATGGCAGCTATTATGATCTTTTCTGATAATTTAGCAAACCCTTCTACTGCAATTTGAATTGGTATAATAACTCAGGGGATTACATCTCTGGAAAGCAAAGTACATTAAATGCTTCACAAGAAACCTGTGGATTTACAACTCATCCAAAGGCAAACAACAACCCTGCTGGCTCCCAAGCCACTGGGCGCTTCCAGGTAGCCACGATGCAAAGCCTGCCTTGCAAAGAGAAGAGGCTGCACTCCCACCACCTGTGAGCACCGCTCAGCTTTGGGCATTTGAACTAGGCCTTGAATACAGTCAACATCTCAACTGGGAAGTATGTGTGCCTGGGACACCACACATCTGGTGGTTAAACTGCAGCTCTATGAGTTAGAGGTCTGTGATACTGGAGAGATAAAAGCCTCTTTATACAAGATACCCATTATGGGATGATACCATCTCCTAAAAATGAAAGGGAAAGCCAATACGATGGTACGAAGCTTAAGAGTGTAGGAAATGCAGCAATTTTATGAAGGAGTTTGTGAGGTCACCCGGCAAAATTTGAAGCTATTCCTGTAATGGAAATTTTGAGGAAATTTACGAATCACCATAGTGTGCATATCTGCAATCACTGGCATTTCTCTTGGCCTCGTATGATAATGGGTAGCCCAAAGGCAGCACAACTCTGTTTGGATGAATTCAAAAAATAACTGTGTTTACTTAAAAAAGAAAAACAAGGACAACTAATGATTTATTTGAGTATTGGGTCACTGAACAACCAATAATCAGAAATAGGAATTTCTATGAAATCATGATCAGTGTAAAGGAACACAACTGTTTGTGAAGACAGGACACTTTATCTAATGAACATTGGTGAACTTCAAAGTTCACGTGAAACGTTTAGAGAAGGTAACAAGCATTTTGGTAAAGGTTTTTTATTTATATCTAACAAAATTATAACTCTGAAAGCTCAAAACCCACTATTTTAGTTATTTAAAATTTCTTTAAATGCACATACAAACATACCTGTACAAACACACACACGCTTGAGTCAGACAGAGAGAACACTTACTGTCATTTCATTCATACTGAGAAGCATGGGGCTAGGTGGCAGGGTGCCAAGACGGTACTTGAAACCTTCTTCCAGAGTCATTCCCCAGAATTGGCTATAGTTCTGGGCTGTCCATCTGCCTTACAAATGAAAGAGAAAAACTGGTACAGGTTATATAATATCACTTTTATAAATAATGTTTGTTTATATTTCTGAAATTATACGAAGTTGGAACTATTCCTGTAAGCTAGATATTCTTTATATAAAGAATGCATGATTGTTTAACAGGAAAGCCTGTAAGACACTCTTCCTAAATTAGGTCTCTTTCAATTATTTTAATGACTTATATGAGGAACCTAAGGCAATGTCAGTGTAGACTAAATAGAAGAATATAAAATCTTTACATATTATAAGGGATTAATTGGCAAAAGGCCAATATATGTAGTTTCTTTTAAATGTCATTAAATGCATTTTAGAAAGAAGCTTGAATGTATAGAAATACACTTATAAATAGGGTAATTGTTTTATGTATAATTTAGATTTGAAAAGAATTTGACCATGTAAAAGGAAGTATCCATGAAAAACTGAGGATATAAGAGTTATACTTTAAAAAATTACATCAGTGTTAATTAATTATATTGAAATATTTTATTTAAATACTGGAATATTCTATCATATATTAAAGAGTTAATTTGTGTTAAGTGCTCAGTAATCTTAGTTATTATTAATGATGATACAAATTCAACTGATGTGAAATTAGATGGTAAAAGGTACATATTTTTTAGAGGCAGGGTTTGTGTCCCTACATAGGAAAAGAAGCTTTGTTTTCCAAAATCTAACACTGACATTTAAATCCAACGAAAAATTTCTGAAGAGATGAGAGAAGATGAGAAAGACGAAAGTGATTTAATCATTGCTTGTTTGAATTATTTACAACTTAAGGACCATATGTCTTCAGTCCTTAAGTCAAATCTAAACTTAATCCTGTTGTGCTAATTACCAAAACTGCTTATAATGTGATAGACTCTCATGAATGATGGAAGATACAGCTTGATTTTCAATAATATGCCTAGCAATTTCATGTTTTCTTTTCTAAGAATCTGTTAGGTCCTAAAACCTTAAGCAACTTGGAGCCACAATTTTTGGAATACAATCTCCATCACCCAAGGAAACCTCTGATGATATTAGATATTGCAGCATATGTAAGAGACCATTAGGACCAGCCTTAGGCAAAAACCATGACATCAGTGAAGTATGTTTTTGGTGCCCTACATTAGTAGTTTTCAAACATTCAGATACATTTGTGGTCATTTAATTAATCCCTCAATTTAGTGAGCAGGGATCAATATTTTAAGAAATAAATAGAATACAGGAGAAATAATGGGAAATATTTGAACTTATTGTATGTAGTGAGAGTGAGTACTGTTTTTATATATGTAGGTATGTGTGTGTAGCATGTATTTGTACACATATTCATGTGCACATATGTGTGTATACTAAGTCACAAAGTTAAATGTATGTTTTACTGTGACTTATGCTCAAAAAAGTATAAAAGGACTACCATTCTAAACCATCCTCTTTGATCTAGACTCATAACTTTCCCTTTAATCCAATTTAGCACTTACTGAACAGTCTTCATTTATCATATTCTCTCTTAAAACATGGTAATAAGTAAATTTCTCTACCCTCACAGAGCTCATACCCTGAAAAAACTGCAAAGATTAAATGACTTCAGTGTGTGTCATTTATTAGCAGTAGGTCAGGGTATGAGCAGAGTAGAGAACTCAAATATAACTCTGCCCAAAGTAGTTGGCATAATTTCGTTACAGAAAGTGACTTTCGTGCTCAGTCTGGAAGGATGAGAATAAGTTTGGTGGACAGATGTAAAAAAAAAAAGGACAATTATTCTTTTTCTTTTTCTTTTTAAAAAGGCAACTCAGGAGCAGGTTTGAAACTGGGTAGCACATTTAAGGAAGAGCAGGTAAGTTCAATGCCGAACCCATGAGAGGGTCGAGGGAGACAGAAGCTGGAAAGAGCATAAGAAATGAGGTAGTAAAGAAGCATTTGGGCCAGAGTGTTAGGTATGCTAAGGAGTATAAAGATATTCTACAAGCAATGGAGTATCACTGAGGATTTTTAAGAACATGAACAGCAGAGTCAGAGCCTTGATTTAGAGGGATAACCATGAAAGTATAAATTGGATGCAGATTGGAAACAGAGAAAACTCAGGTCAACTCAAATGAGGCTTGATAAAGAAATACACTAGAATATAGCAGAGATGTAGAAAAATAAATATCTGAAAGAAACTATGAATGTGGAAATTATAAGAGACTAGTGACTGAGAGAGAAGACGAGATAAGAATCAAAACTAATTTCCGATTTTCTGGCTTGGCTAACAAAGCAGAGGGAAAGGCCATTCACCAAGGGCAGGTTGAAAAGGTTAACCCATTTGGTTTTTCTCAAATTAAGGTGATTTGAGAAACCGGTGAAAAAAATCAAGGCCAACTTATCCAATAGACCAGGTTTTGAGTTCATAAAAAAAATCAAGTTTAGAGATGTGACAGATTAAAAATGGCCACAAATTATTTGTGGCTCTTGGCACCAAGAGGTGGAATTCTATTTCCCCAACCTTTGAATGTGGGTAGGTCTAGTGACTTGCTTCACCCAATAAAAGGCAGGAGAATTGTTGCTGTGTTTCTTTCAAGCTTAGGCCTATAGGGAGGCCCTTTACAGCTCTCCCTCATGCCCTCTTAGAACACTCACACTATATGAAGAGGCTAAGGCTAGCCTGCTGGAGACACGTGGGCCCACCAAAACCAGCACCAATCACTGGGCATGGGAATGACGCCACCTTAGACAATTCAGCTCCAGCTGAGTCTCCAGACATCTATAGACATCTGAGTAACCCCAAGAGAGATCAGGAAAACAGCTTCAGGTAAGTCTATCCCAAGTTACTGAAGTAAACCATTGAAAAGCTTATGGTTTTAAGTTATTAAATTCTGGAGTGGTTTGCTGCCCCACAGCAGATAACTGAAACAGTTATCTATCTCTCTTTGTTCCACTAACATTATTACTTGCTACTAATTTGGCGCTTACATACGGCCCTATCATCAGAAATCCTTTCACAAAGGGATGACATGTTGACTCCTCAGCTAGATTGTAAATTCCTGTAAGACAGAAATTATTTATTTCTATCCTCAGCAGTGCCACAAGAGAAACACACGTTTTGTTAATATTAATTGGTTGTGTTGAAAAGTAACACAGGGAATAAATATGCACTGAAGTAGCTTATGTAGAATGAAGAAAGACTTGGATCTAAAACACCACCAAGATGAGAAAAATAAATGTCTTAAAGAAAAGACTGTATATATTTGCATGTAGGCTATTTTAAAAAGCACTTAGTAAGTATTGAAGGATATGCTTCTATTTTCACACATGAAAACAATTTGAACATCAGGACCAGAATATATCTGAGAGTCAGAACTGTCTTTTAAATTCAAGGCCTCCCCTTGCCTTTTTGTCCTCCAGTAAATAATTTTAGTTTCACTCTGTTTCTTCATAAGCTTGTCTCTTTTACTTAACTTTTTTTCCTTTGGGCAAAGGAAGTTTCCTTTTCCTCAAAATATCCCTCACTTTTTGTCCTTTTAAGGTCATCAGTGTTAGAAAGGCAAAACCTGTGCCTCTTAACTCGTCCAGGAGTAATCTCACAGTGAACAAACGATGGCAAGAAAATCCTTCCAAGGAAGACAACATTACTACCAGCTTCTGTATTCTTATGTGTACTTTCCACGTCGCCTTCAACTGTGGTTTCCCGTGGGTTCTGGGACAGTGGACAAGCAGGCTGCTGAGGGCTTCTTGGACATATGTGCTCCATAGGTCAAGCATTTGAATTATTTTAAGAACCTGATTCAGATAATTTCTTATGATGACACATACTCTGATGTTCTTTTAATGATTTAATTATTACTTAGCCACAGAAAATTATAATGTATTTTCCCTAGAAATACTTAAAATATTATATTATCACCTAAAATATTGGCTAAACATGTATACATACACAGGAATTGAACATGGTTTAAGAATATTAATGTGCAAAATATATAACTTTCTCAATTTCATGTCTTCCTAGAAAATACTTTGGGGACATTTAGTGTCCCCACTGTGTTGTAAAATATCTGTCTTATGGTCTTCTATGTGGAAGCAAGTGATACTTTTAATTTTTTAAAATGCACTTCAGCATTACATCACTTTTATAGTTACTTGATAATAGATCTTCTTATGTGAAATCTTTTCCAGAATGTGGAAAATGTTACCGAGGGTATACAGAGAATCGATCAATGGCAATGGAGAAATCCTGAGGCAGATAACCAGGTGGGCTATCCCTCTTCCTTTCAGTTCAGTAAAGAAAACCCATGTTAGCACTGACATCATAATTCCCTCTATGTGATTGGAGAAGCCACCTAATTTATTAATCTGTCAGAGAGCATCAAACCATTATTTCCCATGTTTAAGTGTCAATCAGCCCTATATTTAGTTTATTAGCAAAGTAATGTGCCTCAGTCTGTTTTTTGATTCAACTCTAAGTGAAATTGGCTACATAGGTCATGTCAATGAAATTGTCTAGATGGACTGGCTATTTGGGGAATCATCAAGATTAAATACGAACCTGTTAGGTTTGATTCTCCCATGATAACTGATTGGCTGGGTCAGGGCAGCAGCAGAGGAAGAAAGATGGTTCATATGAAAAAACTCAATTTTGCCTACTTCCTAATTTTGCCTAAATCTTTATGCAAACTAAAGCTCCCTCCCCTGACTCACACCATAACACTGCTCCTACCGAGATGGTTTAAGACCCTGTTCTATATTTCTTTGTGCATTTTAATTTTTAATTATTTAATATTTACCTCAATGCATTCCTATTTTACATGTCTTTCTACTTCTCTTCCCATTTCTCTCCCACTCTTTCTTTTGAAATATGGCCATTTTTAGAAGTAAATGATAGGAAATACATTGTTTGAAGCCTGAAAACTAACTGGGACTGCCAAAAATGTCTATAAAGTAAGATTTTTCTCACCCATAGTCTCCTTTATTGACACGTTCAATTATTTCTGGTTGAACAAGGCAGACAAGCTGGGAACATTTCCATTGCTGTCCTGAGCATGTGCTGCAAAGATGTAGAAATTACAAAAGTGGCCTAGCCTTTATGAAGTACATTTACAAAATTAGCAACCAGAATTTCACACTGTTAAGGCATAAAACATATTTTTGATTCATGATAGCCATATACCTATTTGATTCTTGGCAAAAATAAAATAATAACATAAGCATTAGCTACCACTCAATATGCTCTTAACTTCTCCTCTAGGCAATTAATAAATGAAATGACCACACAGTCACTGAAATTTGAAAACATGAGAAAATTTAGACAGTAGATTCAGTGTATTTGTATTTGGAAACTTTCTGCAGGATAACCATTTGAAGGCGGTCTGTTTTTATATATAGCTACCATGATCAAAGAAACACCATTTGCCTGTAGTATATCTAGCCTGTTGAATGCTTACAATTAAGAGGTATATTTCACGTAGGCCTGCTGTATGATGAAGGCCACCATCATGAACAACACGCTATAGCATTAAAAGATATACCCAGGATTAGATACGTCAACATTCATCAAATATGCTTATATAAAGCTGCAGCTATGCAATATCCTATGACTTAGGATTCTATCTGTATTTATATATATGTTTTCTTTCACAATACTACTTTTATTTGAAGAAAACATACACAGACAGTAGAATTCAGTTCTGTGCCACTTAAATTCATTACCAGGAGTTGCAGTTTTCTTTAATTACTGATCCTTCTTCATAAGGTTGACCATCTCTGAGGCAACCTGTCAACATAACATGTAAACAAATGAAAATTCTAAATTGAATAATAAAGTGCATTAACATCACAAGTAACCTAAAATTCTGTTTAGTTTCTCAAATATGCAAAAATATTTGGTGCCACTGTGATGAAAATCCACATCTGGTTTGTGTCAAGGTTTATGTACGGAATTTTTCTAAGCTTATTCCATGAGCTTTTATCTTTAAAACTGCATATTATGTTCCAACAGAGGATTTGTAAAGCATGAAAACTTGATTACCACAGAATTAATCACTAACCACACTGAAAAAATAATTTATGTGTTTAAATGGGTGAGCAATAAGACAGTGTTTGGATAAATTTATGGCTTTTCTCATTTAAAAAATCTAATCAAGTGGCAGAAGTGAATATGACTAATTGTATATGACAGGAGTAAGGAGCTCAAAGTTTTGGACCAAAATGTGAGGCTATCTCATTGAATTCACCTCTTAAAGACAAATTCTATTTTTTTCTTCAGAATTTGGATCAGGAGAAAAATTCATGAAACCAATAAGATTATAGCCATTTGTGTTCCAAATCCAAATGTTTCTCAATTAACTGAAACTAGCTGTTAACTAGTTTACCAGATTATATAAACTACTTAAAAGAGACCAATGGTGTATTATCATTATATGAAAACCGTCAATAAGGTATGGTGAAAACAGTACTCTGTTTACAAAAGAAATCCTTTTCAAAAATATAATTCACACAAATTTAAAATTCACTCTGACTTAGCAAAGGTAAAATTTACTACCTTTACTATTGACTTTGTCATGTGAAAACTTTGATAGAAACATGTAATTGATAGATCACTTCAATGGTCTCTATTCAAACAAAATGAATCCTTTTTATTCACATAATCATAGGGAAAAATGTACATGTTTAGAAATCATTCCAAGGGACTTGGTTTAACTCCTAGCCACAATGTCACAAAAGCCACTTAGGGAATTTGCTCTCCTCTGATTTTTCAAATAATGGTTTCATAAAAACTTCACAGCTGCCACTCTTCATCATGTACTGTTTTTACAGTTCAATATGTTGCTTAATGAATCTAAAATCTCTACGCATTTGCATCTATTTATCTCTATCAGGATTTTTAACATCCCACAATCATGGGAAGAGAAGCAAAAACCACCTTTCCCCTGGACCACAAGCTTCTAGATGTAGCAAATTCAGGGAGGGGAAAGATTTAACTTTAAAACAAGTCCAGAGTTTTAATCACTACTCAGTATTAGAGACTTGAAATAAATGAACTTCCGCTATAGAACTTAAAGAAACCCTCAAATTTTTATGACCTAAGGGTGACAGAAAATTCATGCAACAACTCAACTTTTCATAGTCAAGGAAAGTACTTCTCTGACTAGTTTTAAAGGACAGGGGAGAGGTCAAAACCAAAGCTGATTTTTAATCATACCTCATACGTATTCCTTGTCCAACATACCAGTTACGTAGATAAAGGAAACAGAAATCACAAAAGTCTTAAGGGAAAAAAAAAAAAGTCCCTTCTCTGACCTGTACTCTAGCTAATAATTTTGAAGTCAAGAGAATGTTATCACCAGGCCTACCCCAAATCAGCAGTACTAAATCTAGTGTTAGCAAAAGTTCCCTTTCTTGGTCATACTTCCTTAATAACAAGTCAGAGTTTACTATGAGAAAGTATGTTTATTGTAATCTCACTTGAAAGGTGGCCTCTTTTTTTTATTTAAATTCAATTATCCGACATATAGTACATCATTAGTTTTTGATACTATGTTCAACGATTCATTAGTTGGGTATAATACCCAGTGCACATCATATCATATGCCCTCTTTAATGAAAGCCATAATCAGTTCATCTGAGCCTTGTCAAGGGGCTGAAAAAGTGGAGTGTCAACTTCTACATTATATAGAGATAGTCCAATCCTTTTCTATACTCCTGCCTGGTTCCAATGTATCCCTCATTTCCCTACCCAGCATTCAGAGGGGACTTTTAAAATATCTATTGTGTCACTACCTGCTTAAAATCCTCAAGTTATTTCCCATCAAATTTAGAATAAAACCCAAATTCTTCTTATGTTAGTCACCATACAGTACTTCATTAGTTTTTGATGTAGTGTTCCATGATTCATTATTTGCGTATAACACCCAGTGTTATACATGCCCTCCTTAATACCCATCACCAGGCTAACCCATCCCCCCCACCCCCCTCCCCTCTGAAACCCTCAGTTTGTTTCTCGGAGTCCATAATCTCTCATGGTTCGTCTCCCCCTCCAATCTCCCCCCCTTCATTTTTCCCTTCCTTCTCCTAATGTCCACCATGATATTCCTTATGTTCCACAAATAAGTGAAACCATATGATAATTGACTTTCTCTGCTTGACTTATTTCACTTAGCATAATCCCCTCCAGTTCCATTCATGTCAATGCAAATGGTGGGTATTCATCCCTTCTGATGGCTGAGTAATATTCCATTGTATATATGGACCACATCTTCTTTACCCATTCATCTGTTGAAGGGCATCTTGGCTCCTTCCACAGTTTGGCTATTGTGGACATTGGTGCTATGAACATTGGGGTACATGTGCCCCTTTTAAACCCAACTTCTTATGGTAACCTATAAGGCCTTACTGAAAATGTCTCTGCCCTCATCACTTACCCAGGGCTGAATGGGGTGGGGCTGCCTGGGGAATGAAGGATTTGCATAACAATAGTGAGGAGGGAGAGCAGTGGTTGGATGTAATTTGGAGTTTAAGCAATGAACTTTTCTCGGACTGAGTTTGGGGAATAAGGAGAAAGTGGAATTAAGCATGTCTCACTGGGATTTTGGCTTGAGCCATAGAGGGGCAGCGAATCTATCACTGAAATAAGGAACAGGCTTGTTGGCAAGGAATCAAGAGGTCTGCTCTCATATTTTAGATTTAGATTAAATCTAGGTGAGACATCCTAGTGGAGAATGTCAAGTAGAGTAGTTTATGGAAGTCCAGAGTTAAGTCAAGGCTGGAGAAAAAATTTGAGAGACAGTAACATACATTTAAAAGGAAAGCCTTGAGACTAAATAACAATCCATTTGAGAGACTGTATACAGGTGAGAGAAAGAGGGCCAAGACTGAGCTTAAAACACTCCAGCCAGTAGACGTTCAGAAGAGGAAAGGGAAAGAGTTGCCTGTGAGGAAGTAGGAAATTCAGGAGAGAGTAGAGCCTTTGAAGCAAGAGAAGAAAGTATTTCATAAACGGAGATGGTCAACTATGTAGAGTACCAGTGAGAGGTCAAGAAAAGGAGAACAGACATCTGAATATTGCATTTGGTGATAGGAAAGTCAATGACCCTGCCAAGAGGGATTTTGGCAAAGTAGCAAGGAATGACATCCTATAGGAATGGGTTGATGAAAGACTTGGAAGTCAGGAAGCAAATGTTTCTTTTAGTTATTTTACCAAAGGAAAAAAAAGGGGGGGGGGAATGAGACTCATGCTGGTTAAGGCCAAGGGAGGGCTTTTTCAAACTTGGGAGCTAGAAAAAACACATTTTGTAAATTGATCGCTGATCCAGGAAAGAAGGGGGAGAAATGATGCTTTAGGAAAGAAAGAGAGGGAGAGAGGGAGAGGAGGAGGGAGGAGAGAGAAAAAAGAGAGAGACAGTTGTAATGGTGAAGATTAAAAAGACAAGAGAGGACAGGATTCAGGGCTCAAGAGTGTAAGAATAACCCAGAGGGAGAGAGGTTGAAAATTACGATGATGGAGATGAGAGAATTCCTGGTGGCTTTATTTTCTCAGTGAAATGTGTATGAAGCACCTCAGAGTGAGTTAATCAAAATGGTTACCCATAGAGCATCTCAACAAAAGAAAAAAAAAGATATTGGCTGTTGCAATTAATAGGATTTTACAACTTAACAGCCATTAATACAAGATAAGGCAAATCAGGTATTTGGAGAGTGAAATAGCTGGCCCATTGATTTTTTTTAAAAAAGATAGTAATATGATGTCTGTAATTTATTTTAATACTTCATCATAATGCTTTATAATATCTGTGCTGTTTTAAACTTCACTTTAGGAAGACAGTTACTTGCTCGGATCAGGAATCCACATTCCAGAGGTGGTCATTCTGAAAGGCCAGACTCCGGGACAGTGGCTGCAAATGCTTCCATTATCCATCTTTGGATGAACACTAGACTACCAGTATAATGAACGTCAGAAATGGGCTTTAATTGGTAAAGTTAGTGGCTTGTTAATCAACATAATGGATATAAGTAATCAGCTCTTTTTGGTTAAATTAATAGTATTCAATTTATATATATTAGCTAAACTATTTAAATGTCATGCCCCATACTCCCACTCTTAGAGCCAACAGTTTATGTTTCTCTTAAGGTCAAAAGCCTTTCTTCATAAGCCTGATGCTCTAGGATTGATCTCTAGAAAGTTCTGTGTCCCAGCCACTGGGTAGTAGGCATTCTCATTCCCTGATGCCCACTGCACAGGTAAAAGAATTCTACCTCTGTGTTATTATCACATGTGCCTCCAATAAATTACTCAAGCAAGATAGATGTGGGAACCTCTAAAGGACAGGGACTTGAGACTTCATGATGCTTACACAGGTTATTGAATTGGTGTATGTCTCCCTACCAATATATATTTTTGTAACTATCAGTGTGTATGGCAGAATTTGGACTGTGACTTATCTTCATTATAATGTGGTTAAGGAGGTTGTGAAGGAGTGAATAACCCTTACCTAATTCAAATGTGTCAGTGGCTTACACACATTTTTTACCAATGTGAACATAAAAAGTTCTGCATAATTAAATTAACCTTGGTCTGTTGACAACAGATCGTATACTAGACTATTCCCTTAAAATCTGCTACACCAAAAGATTTGTCTGGAAAATCCATTCTGGTTCTCTTCTGAACTCTATTACTTGCTTTCAGTATCTGACATTGAAATCCTCCAATTACTAGAAGTTACCATCAGAGATGGAGTGGAAAAAAAACACATACATAGAAGGAAGTTATTTACCAGTTTTGTCCAACTTCCAGTTTATATAAAAGGTACATATTTATTTTTATAACCTTTAAGATGGTGTACATAGTGTTAAGTCACTGGTTTAAAAAGATCTCGGGACAGTTGCAGTATAAAGAACTAGATAATACCATATAATTAGATAACTGAAAAATAATGTTTAGAAGATCAGTGAATGAACAACTTAGCATCTCAGAAGAAAGTCAGATTATACATGCAAAAATTGGTATAAATAATGATTGTGTTTTTAATTTTGCACGATTTTTAATATTGTGTAGTGCTATTTTCTTTTGACCAGCTACTTTCACAAGATAGAACAAAAGAAAACATTACCTTCATAAGAGCAATTGTAGTCTAATGTGAACTTTTTGCTACTAAATAAAATGATTAATTGCTTCCCTTCATAATGAATGGAATAAAAACTATACCTGGAACATAAGTTCTACCTAAAACATGACCCTAAATTAAAGTCACAGCAAAATTCTAGCTCTCAAGGAAAAATGGACATTGAAGAAGTAGCAATTACTTTTCTAAATGAACTATGTCTCCAATAAGAAAAGCTCAAATGCATTGTAGTGCATCAAAAGCACTACAGCTTATATGTAATATTGAGACTCAACACCCATGAAACCAACCCTATTCCTACTTAACATCTTTCAATAAGTCCTCATAACAGAATAAAATCTCAAATCCTTTTTTTTTTAGTGTATGTGTTGCCGAAGCGAGCACTCAAATCCTTAATATAGCCTATACGTCCTGGCATAATCTGACCTCTCCTCACCCGTCCAACCTAATTTCATGCCCCCCCACAAGCCCTCCACTAAACATTACTCTCCAGAAATGTCAGCCACATTCCAGTTCCTGGACCAGGCCAAGCTTCTCTATCTCAGATCTACACATGTCTGTCAATTCTCCTTCAGGTCAGCTCACTTCTCCTCACTCACGGAGTCTCCTTGCTGACACTCCCTTCAGGCTGATGTTCTATTTTACGTATTAATGTCACATTCTGATATTCTCTTACAGCACCCTAAGTGTTTCCTTCCTAGAATTTATCACAAATTGCAACAACACAATGACTTTGTTAAATATCTTACCTTCTCCCTGGCAACTTGACTGTCACTTCAAAGAGAGTACGATCTTGTCTTTCTTCCCCATTGTTACCCCAGCACTAAGTACAATGCCTGGCATAGTGAAGATATTCAATGAAAATTTTTTGACGAATGACTAGATTCTCCATTCTTAGTAAAGGATCTGCCACTTTTTAGGATAAAATAAATGTTTGATGTTTTCTGAGCTGTATATTGGTAGAGGCAAAGGTCTGGGATAAATGACAGTTCTGTGGAAATTTTAACCCAATATATACATGTTTTAAGAGGCATTCCCTCAATTTTACGAGCAACGTAACATTATTGAGAATGAAGGCAATGGCATCTGGATTTTGAAATGAGATCTGGAATTTGAAATAAGGACGCCAAATCCTAGTTGATCCTAAATTGTCTTCAACTGAAATTTCTAGTCATCATCACTCATTTACAGTATGTTACAGAGCTCTGATTAAACCTGCATTTCTGCTGAGGAGATTTGATGTGATGGGCAATAAAAAAAAAAAAAATAGGGCTTTATTTAAGTACAGCAAAGGAGTGTTGCTTTGTGTTTTGTTGCAAATCTTAGATGTATTGATTGCTCAGAATCTAGAACCATTCTCCTATAATTAGACCAATGTAGTAAATACCATAATTCTCCTTTTGAATTATTTGTACTTATCCACTCAATCTTTGACTTTTACAATTACTCCGTAGGAAGCTTTCCTTTGTTTCAAAGGTTTAAAAAAATCCCAGATTAGAAAAATGAAACAAAACAAAAATGCATATGAAAAATCTATTTGGTATTACTTAGGCAGGTAGCTAGCTGACTTAATTTTGCTTTTGCACTGGTTTTAATGGCATTGCTATACCACAAGTTCTAATGCCAGGAGGTCCCTTAGTCATATGACATAATAAGCAAAATGTTAGACAAGTCTGCAGATGATCAGGCCTGTGACTGATGAGATGCCCTAAGAGGTTACACTCAAAAGAGCCTAAGAGTCCTGTTGTCAAAACATTTTACAAAAAAAGAAAGAGTTTTAAGTAACCCTTATATACACTGAGTCAGTATTCACAACAGGATCCAGACCGGCATTCCTGGCCATCACACCAGAACTTTTTTGAAGGTTCTAGTATAATGCAGGTATCTTGCATCTAAAGCAAAGCACTTTAACAATCCAAGGCAATTTATTTAATCATAATATTCATTTTTCACCTCCTCTTAAGAAAGGAAGGAAGGAAGGTAAGAAGGGAGGAGAGGAAAAGAAAGTTTGACAGATCTTGCAATGAACCAGGCACTCACTTAAACATAGTCCCAAAGCCTACCTTCTGGATCCCAAGGCTTTGTGTGAGGAGGCCATTCTTTCTCTTCACGGCAAAATGACTTATAATCAGGACAGCAATCAGAATTTTCCCTTTCACAGAATTTATCGCAGTAACATAATGCATTTGCCTCATAGAAGTGAGTGGCACAGTCATCATCTCTGTCTTCACAACAACCAAAACGTCTACAGTATTGCCCTTTGAAAATGGCTCTCTTGAATCGAGGACCTTCCCAAACTGTGTGATTCCTAGTGAAAGCAAGTCCTGGGTTCACTTCTCTTTGAGAAAAATACTGTTTCTCCATCCAAATTTCTGTAGTAAGATAGGAAAAGATTAAGATCTTATATCCAGTCCACATTTTCTAGACGTCAGATGGGGCTACCACTTTCTGTTATAGCCAATACCCTTGGCTTTGGGGCTTCTCCTTGGAGCTGGAATTCTAATTATCAAGACAACTCAGCCTGAATCCTGAAACAGATCCTTTACTTGACCTGAGTATACTTCTTGTAGTTAAACATTAATCAAGAATTTCAATGTTTGCCCAAGATAATGTAAGTGTTAAAAATAGACCCTTGTCATTCCTTCAAAGTTAAAAATGTATAATATTTTATATCATGCAAAAAACATCCATCACCATAAAATAAATACATAAAATCTTATACATAGATGAACTACATTGAATATTGCTTGCCTCCAAAAAAAATCTAGATTCTTAAATCAGAAACCTCTCTGGATTACACATGGCCCAAATTATGGCTGCAATAACCACTGGCAAGATGTAGGAAATTGGAAAGTCAAAAACACAATTACTCATTTCACCTACTTGCACTGCAACTAAAATCCAAGCTTTCATGAGGTTGCCTGCTAGGATCTGTCATATCAATAACAGTTGCTCTAAATCATGCCCAGTCACACACCGGTTTGATTTCCCATCTGTACCCCATTTACCTACCAGAAGCATTCTGATTTCAAGGCTTAGTGGAACCTAATTCATCTAGAAATTCCCTGAGGATGACCTTAGTTCCTTCCACCTGAGTCCCTAGTTGTCACCAGTGTAGGAATCTGCAGTATCTGAAAGGCATTTTGTAGTCAAGAAAAGTCCGTCTCTGTGCTAACAAACTGCAGGAGGAGGGAGTCATGAAGGAAACCCAAAGGTCAAGATGTCTTTAGAACTGTACATTTACAGTGGATTTTGCTATACTGTGTTTATTCATTAACTACAATAACTCCCTTTTGGAATGGGGAGAGGTAACCAGTGAATGATGAATCAGCAAGAGTGGCTGGGTGGCCTAATAGAAAGGATTTGTCTTGACAGTCAGGAAAGCCGGACTCTGGTCCCTGGCTACTATTTAATTGGCTTATGACTGGGTTCACAATTTGCTTCTCTGGTCCTCAGTTACCTTTTCCTATAAAACAAGGGTCTTCTCTAAGGCTAATTCATAATTCCAACTCCCTCATAAGTTATCTGATTCACACATCATTGTTTCACTTTCTTGCCCCTTCCTCGCTAGCTATAAACCAGCCTAAGTCCCTTTATCTTTTCTGTTTCAAGTTTACACATCTTGGCATCACTCTCCAACATCATCCTGACTCTCCAATCCCAAAATGGCAAGTAGAGACTTCCTTGCCATTCACTCACTAAACTACAGCGAAGTGCAGTCAACATTCTCACCACCTATGACCAATGACCCCCTAACATCCAATTCCCATACACCTGTGTCCATCATTCTCAGACATGAACCTTCTGCAGCATTTAGCACTATATTACAAACTGGAGCCTAAGAGACTAATAGAGTTCAAAATCTTATTTCACCATTGACTAGGAACATGTCTTTGGCTTAATCTCTCAATTTCTTCATCTGTAAAATTTGGATAATAATATTGATTACCGCACCAAGTGGGTGGCAAATTTAAATGAGATAATACCCAAAGTACCTGGCACATCGCACATGCTAAGTAAATGTTATGTTACCTATCATTAATAAGTATATTGTCCCCCTATGAACCCTTTTCTCCTTTAACTTCATTCTTTCCTGATTCTCTTCCCATTTTTATAAGGCTTTATATCTGCTTAGACTCCCTCTTGTTTTCAGTGATGATTTAAAGTATGTTTTTACCAATATTCTCAATTCTTTTCTTCCCTAGTCCTCATCCCTCATCTTCTCTCAAAAAATTCTAGCACTCAATCAGCCTAAAGGCCATGAGCTATAAGACCTCATGGAAGGTGGACCTCCAAACCCATTATCTCTCTGACCTCAATTTAAACGATTCTACCCCTTGCTCATCCTGGTCCAATCATCACAGTAACCTTGCCATTCCTCAACATGCTGGGTATACTTCTATCTTAGAATGTTTGCACTTTCTCTTCGCTCTACCTGAAGCATGCTTTGCAGATACCCATATGGCTCAATTGCTCACCTCTTTCAAGTACGTTTTTCAAATGACACCTTCTCAGAGAGGCCTTGTCCACACTATCTAAAATGACACTTTCTCTCCAGCCCTATCACTCAATATCACCCTTCTGTGTGATTATCCCTAGCGTACTGTAATTTTATTCACTGATCTTATTTATTTTCTGTATTTTCTCTCCAGAATGTAAGCTCTACAAAATCACAGAATTTTGTTTATTTATAACTTGTCTGTTATCTGTTTTATCTCTAGCAATTAGTGCTTGATACATATTAGGCACTCAGTAAATATTTATTCAGTAAATGAATGAATCCTACAATTTACATTTTCTGCCCCTGTATCACATCTACTGAGTACTCTTGGAGATGTTCCAAGGGCCCATAGCATTGGTACTACCACAGATTTTTGGATTTTTATCTCAGCTAAGCTATATTTTTTTATATTTTTTGTATTTTTTGATTTATTTTTTATTTTTTATTGTTATGTTAATCACCATACATTACATCATTAGTTTTTGATGTAGTGTTCCATGATTCATTGTTTGTGCATAACACCCAGTGCTCCACGCAGAATGTGCCCTCTTTAATACCCATCACCAGGCTAACCCATACCCCCACCCCCCTCCCCTCTAGAACCTTCAGTTTGTTTTTCAGAGTCCATCGTCTCTCCTGGTTCGTCTCCCCCTCTGATTTACTCCCCTTCATTCTTCCCCTCCTGCTATTTCTTCTTTTTTTTTCCTTAACATATATTGCATTCTTTATTTCAGAAGTACAGATCTCTGATTCAACAATCTTGCACAATTCACAACGCTCACCATAGCACGTACCCTCCCCAATGTCTATCACCCAGCCACCCCATCCCTCCCACCCCCCCACCACTCCAGCAACCCTCAGTTTGTTTCCTAAGATTAAGAATTCCTCATATCAGTGAGGTCATATGATACATGTCTTTCTCTGATTGACATATTTCGCTCAGCATAACACCCTCCAGGTCTATCCACGTCGTTGCAAATGGCAAGAGCTCATTCCTTTTTATGGCTGCATAATATTCCATTGTGTATATATACCACATCTTCTTTATCCATTCATCGGTCGATGGACATCTTGGCTCTTTCCACAGTTTGGCTATTTTAGACATTGCTGCTATAAACACTGGGGTGCACGTACCCCTTCGGATCCCTACATTTGTATCTTTGGGGTAAATACCCAGTAGTGCAATTGCTGGATCGAATGGTAGCTCTATTTTCAACTGTTTGAGGAACCTCCATACTGTTTTCCAGAGTGGTTGCACCAGCTTGCATTCCCACCAACAGTGTAGGAGGGTTCCCCTTTCTCCGCATCCCCGCCAACATCTGTCGTTTCCTGACTTGTTAATTTGAGCCATTCTGACTGGTGTGAGGTGGTATCTCATTGAGGTTTTGATTTGGATTTCCCTGATGCCGAGCGATGTTGAGCACTTTTTCATGTGTCTGTTGGCCATTTGGATGTCTTCTTTGGAAAAATGTCTGTTCATGTCTTCTGCCCATTTCTTGATTGGATTATTTGTTCTTTGGGTGTTGAGTTTGATGAGTTCTTTATAGATTTTGGATACTAGCCCTTTATCTGATATGTCATTTGCAAATATCTTCTCCCATTCTGTCGGTTTTCTTTTGGTTTTGTGGACTGTTTCTTTTGCTGTGCAAAAGCTTTTTATCTTGATGAGGTCCCAATAGTTCATTTTTGCCCTTGCTTCCCTTGCCTTTGGCGATGTTTCTAGGAAGAAGTTGCTGCGGCTGAGGTTGAAGAGGTTGCTGCCTGTGTTCTCCTTTAGGATTTTGATGGACTCCTGTCTCACATTGAGGTCTTTCAACCATTTGGAGTCCATTTTTGTGTGTGGTGTAAGGAAATGGTCCAGTTTCATTCTTCTGCATGTGGCTGTCCAATTTTCCCAACACCATTTGTTGAAGAGACTGTCTTTTTTCCATTGGACATTCTTTCCCACTTTGTCGAAGATGAGTTGACCATAGAGTTGAGAGTCCATTTCGGGGCTCTCTATTCTGTTCCATTGATCTATGTGTCAGTTTTTGTGCCAGTACCATATTGTCTTGATGATGACAGCTTTGTAATAGAGCTGAAAGTCCGGAATTGTGATGCCACTGGCTTTGCTTTTCTTCTTCAACATTCCTCTGGCTATTCGGGGTCTCTTCTGGTTCCATACAAATTTTAGGATTATTTGTTTCATTTCTTTGAAAAAAGTGGATGGTATTTTGATGGGGATTGCATTGAATGTGTAGATTGCTCTAGGTAGCATTGACATCTTCACAATATTTGTTCTTCCAATCCATGAGCATGGAACGTTTTTCCACTTCTTTGTGTCTTCTTCAATTTCTTTCATGAGCATTTTATCGTTTTCTGAGTTGAGATCCTTTGCCTCTTTGGTTAGATTTATTCCTAGGTATCTTATGGTTTTGGGTGCAATTGTAAATGGGATCGACTCCTTGATTTGTCTCTCTTCTGCCTTGTTGTTGGTGTATAGGAATGCCACTGATTTCTGTGCATTGATTTTATATCCTGCCACTTTACTGAATTCCTGTATGAGTTCTAGCAGTTATGGGGTGGAGTCTTTTGGGTTTTCCACATACAGTATCATATCTGCAAAGAGTGAGAGTTTGACTTCCTCTTTGCCGATTTGGATGCCTTTTATTTCTTTTTGTTGTCTGATTGCTGTGGCTAGGACTTCTAATACTATGTTGAATTGCAGTGGTGAGAGTGGACATCCCTGCCGCATTTCTGACCTTAGGGGAAAAGCTCTCAGCTTTTCCCCATTGAGAATGATATTCGCTGTAGGTTTTTCATAGATGGCTTTTATGATATTGAGGTATGTGCCCTCTATCCCTATACTCTGAAGAGTTTTGATCAAGAAAGGATGCTGTACTTGGTCAAATGCTTTTTCTGCATCTATTGAGAGGAT